CTCTGGCCTGGTGGATTTGTATTACGTGGACTTTGGGGACAACGGGGAGCTTCCACGGGAACATTTACGAAGCATGAGGTAAATAAGAGATAGAGAATGCAGAATCAGCTATTTATATGCTAATTGGGCTCTTGATTACTGTGTTTTACCTTCTATGAATAAACGCAGATGCATTTTGGGAGTTGTGTGTATACAGTACTCTTTCTGATGGTGTATTATTTTGTGGTGTTTAGAAGTGACTTCCTGAGCCTGCCCTTTCAAGCCATTGAGTGCAGCTTAGCAGGGGTTCGTCCTGCAGGTAAAGAGTGATCTTCAGGTGTTTATCAGTGAAATTTAAGGGTAAGCCACAGAATAAAGTTGTCTATTAAAAATGTTATCTTTTCGTACTTTGTTTCAGGAGAGGTTTGGACTGAGGCAGCCCTGGATGACTTTGAGCGCATGACATACTGTGCTGAATGGAAAGCTTTACTGGCCAAATTGTACAGTTATTCTCATTCTGAGATCTCATCCTGGCCCAGCGTTAAACTCTATGACAACAGCCAGGGAAAGGTTAGAGGTCAACATCACAACTCACTTGAATGAATTTTACAGCTGTGGTATAAATTCTGATGTTGAAAGGCACTTCAAACTGGAGTATTTCATATTATAATGTATTACATTTCAATCTTTGTATTTAGCTGACCATTTTATCAGTTAATTCCCAGGTTATCAAACCCATGACCTTCTAGCGCCATGTTGTTCTGTTTGGTATTATTTATATTCTATTTTTTTATATATATATCTGTTTTCATTTTAATTTGTTTAAATATTGTAATTGTATTTTAGAAATTATTTAAAGATATTTCTAAATGGTTATTTCACTTTTAATTGATGTGTTATTTGCCAAATCAACAATTAAATATTTTATTAATATAGAATAATTATTAAAGGAGTATTTCTATTATTCTTGAATCATTTTAAATGAAAAATATTTTTATTTGAAATATATTTAATAACAAAACTGAAACCTCAGAGTTAATCTACACATTTATGTGCTCTTCAGCTAAATTTTAGCATGATTGCTACCACCTAGAAATAATATGAAGTAACAACCACTCTAAATATCTACAGTCTATCACCAGTCCAAATCAGCTTAAAAAATACTGAGAGAAGACACTGACATTGTAGTGGCGAGGTTGACATTAACAAAACAAACTTTCACAATTTCAGAAAGAAATGTGAGTGGTGTCTATCTTCTTTGTTTTAATGCTCTGTGGTCGGTCATCTCTGTCTCAGGCTCTGGATCTCGGTAAAGAGTTGATTCGTCTTGGGCATGCTGTGAGCTGTGAGGATGAAGGGATTGGGCTGAGGGGAGACTGGGATGAGTCCAGATCACTGCAGAAGATGCTGGTAAGATACATATGGATTGCGTTTATGGTGTATTGTAGGTGGAAGCAGCACCAAGAGAATCATTGTTTAAATTTTGCGCAGGACGACATGACCGGAGCAACATCAGAACTCAGTATGTCCTGCATCAGTTTGTCAGGTACGTTTTCTGAAATGAAGAAATGAATTGAGACACTTAAACTTCCATGGGCAGCTTCATTGTTCATTCAATTTTTTATTTTTTTTTAATTGTCTTGAAATTCTGTATGCATCAGTACATGCTTTCATTCTGCTACATACAATACTGTTCAAAACCTTGGGGTTAGTGAGATTTAAAAAAAAATTTAAATTACATTTTATTTAGCAAGGCTAC